ACAAAGTCAATTTTTTGTCACAAAAACTAACCAAATGCCAGCATATAGTTTCAAGTAGTATAACTAAGAGAATTACCAAAAGGCATTGTTTAATTTTACCCAAAAATGATGTTTGAACAGATTTTTCTGCTGGCATTCTAAGCTGTATGTCAATGGGGCAGGAAAGTAGGTCACGGAAGTAGGTTAAATTTACAACCAAAAATTTAAAGAAAGGAGCAGTCTAAAGGTCTTTTATGGCTGATCGAGTGATCTATTCAGTTTATCCCTTGGCATGTCGAATTTATTTGAGTCATATAAGAATCTAGTAGAAGTGGTTTACAGGTGTTACTGGGAATCCATGCTCCACCGATGCTCGGTTCGTATGTACCTTTAACCAGATTTAGAGCTCGCTATATCTAATAAAACGTCTCCACTTACGAGTGGGGCTCAAAAATCCGAAACTTGAACATGCTCACAGTATTTCACTGAACATTTTTTATTGCGGTATCAAGCTTATCCACTCAAACCAAAAATACAATGCTTTCTGCCATTCTTGCAGGGTACCGAGACACAGGGGACTACTGGAGATCCTGGTACGACACTGCCGACTTCCGGGATCAACTAGAGCAACTGTATGAGGAGATGAAACCGCTCTACCTTAACCTACACGCCTATGTGAAGAATAAACTGAAGGCAAAATATGGAGAGAGCTTGTTTCCACCGAGTGGACACATTCCAGCTCACTTATTAGGTATGGGTGTTATCACGTTATAGATGTGGTTCGGAAGTATGCGACAACTTAATCTTGCAATATCACAGTTTGTTAAACCTTGATGTGTTGTGATATATGTAATTTTAAAGAGATAATAACTTTTCTTATGAGATTCGTATTTTACCACCAAAACAGCGGTTATCGCAATTATTCTGGAATCTCTGCTTGTCATCAGACCATGTGAGCCTTCATAGATGGCTATACCTCCGTAATAATCCCTTAAGAAATAATTACAGAAACCAAACTTTAAAAAAATGGACTAACTTTGATTCATTAACCATAGGCAAATATGGAAAAATCGTCATTTACCCCAGGATTTTTTTTTTTTTTTTTTTTTTTTTTGCCAAAATGAACGGTTGCCATCCCTTTAAAATGTTGTGATTACTGTAGACCAAAAATTTTGTTCGAGATGAATTCAAGTATTATACGAGTGATAATGCATTGACACGATTTCAAAACATTATGAAAAATATGCTTCAATATATTGCGTTGGGTTAGCCCCATTATAGAATGAAATCAGCATTTATAAAATATGATATTGAAGTCATTCAAGATATGTATGTCACTGATATGCCTTTGATGATATATAAATTTATACCGTATTGTGAATATATATTGTGAAGTGAAAACAAAATATTTTTTATTCGACATCAACACACATGACGCCATTGGACGTACTCTCAGTATGACGCTAAGTAAAGCATTTCACTGATTATTTTTTCAAGGGAATATGTGGGCCCAAAGTTGGAACAATATATTCGACATCGTGGAGCCTTTTGCTGGGAAACCTAGCGTTGACGTCACCCCTAAGATGAAGGAACTGGTAATGACGGGCTCATAAGTTCTCTACCTTCTGAAAGTATAAAAATTTATTCAACAGTTATTGTACTGGATATTTTTTGTGTGGTGGCATCTATATTTTTTTTAGTATTGACATCTATAAATTAAGATATAAACACAATATTAGAGCATTGAAAATGTTTCACTCGTAAGCGGTGTGAAATTGCACCTCAGCATTGAAATACGGCAGTGTTTTTATCTCCCAAGCACAACACTGCAAGGTGTGTGTGTGTGTTTTTTTTAAATGAATTCTTGGAATTTGATTTAGAATTACACGCCCCGTAGAATGTTCAACATTTCTGACGAATTCTTCACTTCGCTGGGTTTGGAAGCAATGCCACAGGAGTTTTGGGATCATTCCATGCTAGAGAAGCCTACGGATGGACGTAAGGTTGTGTGTCACGCGTCAGCCTGGGATTTTTACAACAAAAAAGACTTCAGGTAAATGTCAACATTGGTGGCCTTTGTAACCGCTCAAAATTAGATCAGTAATAGTGAGCTGACGTCACAAGACGACCAGATATACAAAGCATAGGGGTCTCCCTCGTGATTTTTTCTTTTGATCTGTAACAAGTTCTCTAGGGGGGGGGGGCTCTATAGCACGCATATCATCCCCTAACAATGATACAATGGTTTCCACGCCTCCCACGCGGGCCGTTCCAGCAGAGGCAGGGCAATTAAATCACGGCATGTTTTCGGGGTGGGTGGCGCCATATTTGATCCGCATACTAGTTAGTCCGCAAAATAGCTGGTTGTGAATGCTCCCAAAGAGATAAATGAGTCATTGGGTTTCTTTTTTGTCAGAATCAAACAGTGCACAGACATCACGATGGATGATCTGATCACAGTCCACCATGAAATGGGCCATGTGGAGTATTATCTCCAGTACAAGGAACAGCCGGTTGTGTACAGGAGGGGGGCAAATCCCGGTATGGATTGCGTGTGTTGCTTTTGCTTTGAATAAGTACTTAGTTAACTCCTCCTTAATGTACAAGAAGTTACATTCATTAGAATGAATACTGATTTGGAAAAAAAAAAACTATTGTGAGATTCGTAAAGATTGTTCTGAAAAAAGGAATCACCCCCTCATAAAATTAATGAATAAAATGAAATAAAAGAGCAAACGTAATAAATGAATAAATTGCGCGTTTACAAATGTTCGTATTTATAGAAACAAGATAAAGGCCCTATTTCTAACACGTACTGTGCAGCACATAGCTCTAGGAATACAGGTTACAATAGAGAAATGCTAGGTTTAAACTTTGTTTAAGCAAGACACAACTAAGACGCACTCCAATTCTCTGTCCTAATACTTACAGGGTTCCACGAGGCTGTTGGTGACGTACTGGCCCTCTCAGTCTCCACGCCAACACATTTGAAAGAGATCGGCCTGCTGGACAACGTTACCAATGACAATGGTAAAAACAATGAAATATTTGGGAAATCTCGCGTTTTCCGTTTTCTGTGTTTTGTAGTGTACCATTTCCATCATACTTAATAGGCATTTTGTTGACTTCCAACAAGTGCCAAACATTAAAAGTCGTGATGCTATGCTAATAAGCATCAATCCTTTTTTTCTTGTAGAGAGTGTCATAAACTATCTAATGAGCATTGCCCTGGACAAAATTGCCTTTATTCCATTTGGATATTTGATGGACCAATGGCGCTGGGGTGTCTTTAATGGGTCAATAAAGTTTGAGGAATATAACAAAGAGTGGTGGAAGTTACGGTAGGTGTGGCACGTAACGCATTCGCAATGTGCTCAGGTGTGCCGTTTTCACAACTAACACATTCATATTTTGCTTTCATTCGACCCAACGGGATTGGTTTTGTATTATGTTCATTCGGCCAGAATCCAGTAATTTTTTCAACGCGGGGTAGAAATGGCCTTATTTTGTGGTCGCACACCTAATGCACTCCATATATCAAAAATCCTCCGAATGAAAAATCTTTTTCTTTCCGTCTTAGCAAAGTTATCACTGAAGTGGAATTGAAAAATTACTTTTCCGATTGAAAACAAGAATCAGTGTAGCTTAATAGCCCATTGTCAAGAATTTGATGAATGAAATTGCATCAATATACATCTTCATGCCGCTTATTTCCAAGACACCTCATTATCTGCATACTGTAAAGGGGAATTTCAAATATAAAACAATTCATCAAAGATATTGATTCTTTTCAGGTGCAAATACCAAGGCGTTTCTCCCCCAATACACAGGAATGAAAGCGATTTTGATCCTGGTGCCAAGTATCATATACCAGCTAATACGCCATATATAAGGTTCATTTTCAGTGTATATTGAAATTGTATGTTAACCATTGCTAGGTTCTTGGTATAAAATGAACTTCCAGATCCTGACTAATTTACATGAAAGGCATTTAGTATACATTAGATAACAGAAAGTAATATAATGGTGCATATTAAAATGCAGTTTATTCTTGGTACCTTTCTATCCAAGTTTCTAAATTTTGATGAATTATCAATCAGTTTGTGTGATTGTTTTTATACACAGTTTCCAATATTGAGCATTTACATCTCTGTGTGAAAAAAATACTCATTAATTAATATGATGCAACTTTTTGAATAAAAGTGGCTATGGCATTCTCATATTTAGGAGAGGGATTTTATGCTTTGTAAACAATTTTCAGGTGATTATTCAAAATTCAAAAATATATGTCCACACCAAATTGGCTTAAGCATGAGTCTTTAAGAGTATTTTCAAAGAAAGTTAACAATAGAGCTGTATAAGCTTGAGAAATCTCTATTTGATTTCTCTCCATACTAAAAACATTCTAAAACAAGACAATCTAATTCATTTTTAAACCTTTATGTCTTCAGGTATTTTGTTAGTTATGTCCTACAGTTCCAGTTCCACGAGGCCCTCTGTAACACAGCCAATCAGACAGGTCCCTTGCACATGTGTGACATCTATCGATCTACAGAGGCAGGAGCAAAACTTGGGTAATGTGGCTGTAAAATTGCATACTAAATAAAATACATATTGTTAGTTCATTACATATCATTTCATTAGTCTGATATACATTATTTTGATTAAATTATCAGTTACTAAGTTCCTATTTATTAGTATGCAACCCTCAACAGAAAGCTATGGAAAGTGTACCAAGACATAATTCACTACTACAACACAAGATGGAATTACTGTTTGTAAATTCTAGCTATATATTTAAATTTAGAATCAACAAGTATATAAATATAGAAGAAATAGCATTTCTGCATTCCCCCAGTGAAAATGCAAAACATTTTACAGTATAACTGTTGCATAATGTCACAATAGCCTCAAGCATTGTAAAACACTTCTTCCGATGACTGCATATATTTGCCAAAAACAATCCAGTGTAACTATCACACCGACAGCAATTACACCCAAACATCATCACAACTAACACAATCCCTACCAACTGTGAAATCTAATGCAATTAAACCTTTAATGTTATCTGTTTACCTTTATATTTTAGTAACATGCTAAAACTTGGATCCAGTAAACCATGGCCAGAGGCACTGGAGAAAGTTACAGGGACCCGTAACATGTCCGCTAACGCCATCTTGCTCTACTTCAAGCCTCTAATTGATTGGCTAAAGGTCCAGAATCAAGGTCAGACCATAACATGGTCTGAAGAATGTCCAATTGAGTATTACACGACTACTTCTGTTCCTTCAACTGCCAAACCAGCAAATTCAACAGGAAGGTTGCACAATGGTTTCTTTATAGTAGCCTTTATATCTGTATTGGCGCTTTACATTTTAAGGTGAACACTCAAGCAAAGTACTAATTGGAGTCGATTAAGACAGTAGAACAACTGACAGGCCAATTTACAGTTGAAATCACTGTACTACATTTTAAGACAGTAACTGAAATGAACTGAAAATCAGACTTCAATTTATCTTTCCAATTCTTTGTTCTTAGCATATTTAGTCAGGAGCCCCAACTTGTGCTTACATACATGTATTATACTTATACTGAATATATCTGAAAAAAAATTAATTAAAAAGGCTTTAGAGACATTATAGATACAATATCACCATTTTATATTTCTTTTTTTTTTCCAAAATTGACGATTCAGTGCATATCTATATTTTGGTTTCTTGTGAACTAACATTTGAGTCATCGATTGAGAAAAATCTTGTTTTGATCAATCATTTAAAATTGAAATTAAAAAACAATAATTTGAAGGAACTGGCTACCATGGAAATAATCCACAGTAGAGAGATTTGAATTAGCGTCATTTGCAGGGGCATTTTGGTGGTCTAATCAAAAGATTTTAACTGTCCACATGGCTTTCTGCTTTGTTTTGGGGTGTTTATTCAGCACAGTTATAGCAGTTTTTTTTTAAATTCCCTATAGCTATGGATAAGGTCAAACAGCTGGCAGACAGAGCAAGATAAAAATATCCTATATTTTACTGTACAGTAAGCAGAAAGTAAGCAAATCTGTTTCCAGAAGTTGGTATATCATCTCATATGCAAACGAAACTTATGTGCCCTATTTGTAAAAGGGCAAAATGGCTAAATAAGTGCACCATTCAATAAGATTGTCAAATAACATTTTTATACCTCTGGGATCTGAGATGGCTTTAAAGGTACATACGAACCGAGCATCGGTGGAGCGTGGATTCCCAATAACACATGTAAACCACTTCTACTAGTTTCTTATACTACTCAAATAAATTTGACATGCCAAGGGATAAATTGAATAGATCACTCGATCAGTCATAAAAGAGCTTTAGACTGCTCCTTTGTTTAAATTTTTGGTTGGAAATTTAACCTACTTTCCTGACCTACTTTTCTGCCTCATTGACATACAGCATAGAATGCTAGCAGAAAAATCCGTTCAAACATCATTTTCAGGTAAAATTAAACAATGCTTTTTGGTAATTCTCTTAGTTATACCATTTGAAACTATATGCTGGCATTTGGTTGGTTTTTGTGACAAAAAATTAACTTTGTATGCATCTTTAAATATTTGTCACCATATCCAGTATGTTTGAGATTAAATGGCACAAAAAAAAAAAAAAAAAAAAAAAAAAAAAAAAAAAAAAAAAAAAAAAAAAAAAAAAAAAAAAAAAAAAAAAAAAAACGGTTAGACATATTACTGAATAAGTTTCTATTTCATTTTTCTGTACTTTACTGGATCACACATTAGATAAACATAAATTAAACAAAATAATTCCAGGCATAACACACAGTATAAGCTTTTATTCTGCCTAAAATCACATACTTGATTTATATGTATAATTTTTTCAAAACTGTTTTGTAGTAATAAATGTAACTGAAGTTTATATTTCATTTTTCTGTACTTTACTGGATCACACATCAAATAAACATTAATAAAACAAAATAATTCCAGGCATAACACACAGAATAAGCACGCTTAATTTATATGTATAATTTTTCCTAAACTATTTTGTAGTAATAAATGTAACTGAAGTTTCTATTTCATTTTTCTGTACTTTACTGGATCACACATCAAATAAACATTAATTAAACAAAATTATTCCAGGCATAACACACAGAATAAGCTTTTATTCTGCCTAAAATCACACACTTGATTTATATTTGGCAAAGTCTTATAAGTGAATTTTGCAGATTTAACAAGCTGAATATAAATAAAAACAAAATAAATTAATAATAAATCAATGAATATACAGTCATATCTGTTCATCCTTTCTTGCAATTATAACAGTATAAAGTTTATATTCAGTGATGGTTTTCTAAGCAATACATATAATTTTTTCTTAACTATTTTGTAGTAATAAAAGTAACTTAAGCTTCTTTTTCATTTTTCTGTACTTAATTGGATCACACATCAAATAAACATTAAATTTAATAAAACAAAATAATTTCAGGCATAACACACAGAATGAGCTTTTATTCTGCCTAAAATCACACAATTGATTTTTATGTATAATTTTTTCTAAATTGTTCTGTAGTAGAAAATGTAACTTAAGTTTATATTTCTTTTTTCTGTATTTTACTGGATCACACATCAAATAAACATTAATAAAATGAAATAATTCTAGGCATAACACACAATAAGCTTTTATTCTGCCTAAATTTGCACACCTGACTGATACTTGGAAAGTCATAAAAGTGAACTTTGCAGATTTAACAAGTTGAACATAAATAAAAACAAAATAAAGTAATAATAAATCAATGAATAAACAGTCATTTTTGTGCACCATTATAACAGTAATAAAATTTTAACGCATTTATACTCAACATTCCATCACATGCTTTTACTTGTTTTTCTGTCTTCTCAGGAATGAATTAGAAGACATCAATTTCAGCATTCCTTTTTAAGGTATTAACACTTTCAATGAGCTGGACAACAATTATGATAACCTTAAAGGTTTATTTTTCAGCCCCACTTGATCTGAAATATTCTTGTAAAAGTTCTTCAACTTTTGGTCTGTTTATGAGCTTATTGGCTTTTCCTTGAAACCGCCCTTTTTTGCCAAAGCCTTTGCCCTCTAGCAGATCAGAAACCCTGAATAATAACAGACACAACAACTTGTGCATAATAACTCATCATTATGCAATTCTTGTGACAGTAAGTTATATTTTCTAAAATGAGAACAAGGGGAACCCGAAATGACCATCACCAAAATTGGAAATATGTAATATAGGTCATCGATGAAACACTGTAACAAATGTACGACTACGAGTCACTGTAAAATAAATAAATAAATAATTAATGTCCACATCTTTTAGAATCATGTGTAGGAATAATATCATCTTTAAAAAATTATGAACTTATTATTATTATTTCACTTGGCTTGAATTTGCCCCAGGGCTGCGACTTACTTTGGTCCAAGAGTAACAACAGTATCTTCTGGCCCAGCCAGCAAGAACATTCCAGAACCCTGCTCATCTCCTACAGTAAGGAATAGTACCACATTCTGCAATATTCAAGAATAACAGTCTTTAATTTAGATTTTTGAAATGACTACTTTATACAAAATGTTATTTTTATAAAAAAATTTTAATTAAATAAACTTGGTGGACAGTCACTGAAACATTGGAATTTAAACAAGAATTCCTAATCACATTTCACAATTTTTAGCTTCTTTGATTTTCTGTTTACTTTGTATTGTATCTGTAAAGAGATGATATTAATCTGTAATTTTTTCATATCTTACCTCATCATTTATTTCATTGACAATTATGTTCATGAATTCATTGTCTCCTTCTTTCCTGTAAAGACAAAACATTTTAAACTAATAAAATATGTTTTGCATTTTGGCATTCAAATAAAGCACATTAAATACAGAGCAAATCTGCAAGCTCATACATGAATAATTTAACATTGCAGAGTCTCATCTCTTCAAAGATAATCCCTCACCTGTGTAGTGAAAAGAAGTTCTCTCTTTCAGGATTGGTCTTAAACTTCTGTGCCTCTAATACTGCCAGGTCTCTTAACAATGTTAAGGCATTCTGTAATATAATGAGGACTCACCTATACACATTATGGAGTAGACCTTACAGTGAAGGCAGCACTCAAACAATTTTCACTGTGTGCATTGTTTGTAGGAAAAAAACTTGTGTGAAGTCAAAATATTCAACATAAAAAATTTTCATAAATTAATTTTATCAATTACTTAATAATATTTAGAAATTTATTCATTCTTCTTTATATATCAATCAATTCAAAATATCTACACTTATCTACTTGTTTATAATGTTTAATTTAAACCTATTTTTCAGCATTATCTGAATTTAATTCACTGTATGCGACAATTCCCTTTCAACAGAAATTTATACCAAAATCTGAAAAACCTATAATATGTGGCAGAGAATCTATTAAAACTCAATAATTATGTAGCCAAATTACCTTCTGTGCAGCTTTCAAATTTTTCTGCATCTTGTCAGCAAGCTCTGCATATTCTTCTGGTGGTCCCCTAAGAACAAGACACACTTTATAATATTGACACATGCATTATCTTTATATAGTATTACACATTAACTTTGAACTAGCATGCCTCCGTAGTAATACCCCCTACATTGTATAATATTGTATATGCCCCCTTAATTTATATGAACAGACAAACAATTTAAAAAAATATTATATAGAAAAAAATATAATCAAATAAAATTATAATCATCTTCAATTCACATGCATATGAATCAAACTAAAAACTATCATATTTTTCAGTGACTAAGGAACCTGTAATGACCTTGGCAGTTACGGAAGTGCAATTTTTGATTTAACAATGATTTAGTAAAATACATCCTGGACCAACTAGAATGTTTTTCTTCCTTCCACTTCATGAAATAACTTTCTGTTTCAGTTATTTAGGGATTTCAAGAACTTACTTAAACACACTATTCAAAGCCTTTTCTGTCTGATAGCATCTTCCCAAGTACTGCAACACCCTGCTTCCAGCCACAAAAACCAGGTTACACTTGCCTTTCTTGCCCTTTTCTACACTCAAAAGCTTGACTGCCTGTCCAAAAAACAATATTGCAGAATAAGTAACTATGTTAGTCTCATGTTTAAATTGACATAATTTGATAATAAGCTCTCATCTTGCCCTCACCCCCAAGGGTGGGTTTGAGAATATGTGGACCTGTCATATATGAAAAGTTTTTAACTATCAAAAACTAAGAGCCAATGATAAGAAACACTTTTCACATTTAGTCCACCAACAGATACCTTCCAAATCTTATCATTCCCACCTGGTTGCCCACCTGACTGTGATAAGAATGGTACCAAGTGTAAGCCAGTTCACCTGAAGATTTCTGCACGTCTCTTACCTGCAAATGACTCAGGTTAGCTACATGTGTGCCACAACACATATTTGCCTCAATCCCTTCAATGATAACTACTCTCACAGGGCCCACATGATCATCCGGGAGACCACGAGTACGAACCTGAAATTTCATTTTCAATAAAACCAATTCAAATTGACTGAAAAATGGCCCATGTCAGCTCTTTCAAATAACCACCTAGTTATACAACTATGGTCACCATGAGAAATAGTTCAATTTAAGATTTCATGAGATTGTCACTTCACTGGAAACAAGGACATGTTTTTTTAACTTGACATTTGGTTTTGCAACTGTTGATGAAAAAAAAAACCTTAGGCATGTCTTTTAAAAAGAGTACATGTATGATGAAAAAACTTCTGAAACATGTTAACAATCTTTAAGATTCAATCTTATCATGGACTAAAAAGAAAATTTAATGTTTGGAAACTGGCTAATAAAGTCTCTAGACTACAGAAACAATAAGGATGTCCCCCCCACACACATACACACACATGCGTAAATACACATTCACACACACACACTGTACCTCAGCTATTTTAGGATCATCCACACTTTCAAACAGCCTTGGATACATTGGAAGAGAGGCTCTGATCTTGGCATTAACTTCATCTTCTAACTCTTTTAGCTGTTCCTCTGTTAAACTGGTGGTATCTAATTCTATAAACGATGTTTTCTCACCAAGATTCCTAAAACAAAATATCATAATACCTATAGCAAAACATATTGAAATTTAAGACTGTGTGTGTGTGTGTGTGTGTGTGTGTGTTTGTGTTTGGGAGGGGAGGTGTTTTCCTATATTCACACAAAGCACTCTTGAAGCCCCTTTCTTAATTGTAATTCTAACAATTATTCATGAAAATTTAAACACAAGTTTCAATACAGTTTGGCAGAATTTGCTAAATATGAAACTTCTTAAATTAATAGACTTAATGAAAGTTTATCTCAATTATTTCAACAAAGAAATGAATAAAGTAAATCAAGAAATTCATATAATAATTCTACAAATGTATCTAAATATGTCTGTGTGTGTGTGTGTTTCTTACCATGATGTTGTTTTGTATCCATATTTCTGCTCTGCTATAGCTGTCACCAAGTGCTGTGCTGAAGACAATCAAATGCTAGAGATGTTATCATCTTGCAGATGATTAATCACTTATTATGCCTCAGAATTCACCAAAAATTCATAAATAACAACAATTTTACTGAGCCACCAGACAGAATCATTACTTTTTTCAATATATCAACTGATAAATGGTACAAAACAAAATATTTTAATCCCATCATATTGCCATTCTTCCCTGGACCATGAACTTTTGTTTTTCTTTTTTTTTAAACAAAAATTGGACATTTCATTTTGGTTAATATCAATATTGAGCCACAGGTATTATTTATGACATTTCAATCAAAATCTCACATCAATTATTACCAGAGTGTTGTTGCATGTGGTCAAACCTCCGTGTCCAGTCCACAGTCACGTTGACCTCTGAGTTGACCTCAAGGTCAGACTGGACAAAATGGACGGCTTCGGCCCCTCGTCTTGTTACGCGATGGACATCCACACTATTTATCTAAAATAATAAAACTGTGAAGTTTGGATAAGTCAGGCATAGTCAAACTAAGAAAACTAATTAACTAAAAAAGTTTTCCAGTTTAAAATAGACATGGACAACAACACCATTCATCTAAAATTAGCAAGTTGTGTGTTTTAAGACATACAAGAATATTCACCTCATTCATGACCAATACTTAGAACAAAATGTCTGTTCAATTAAAATAAAAGCTGTTCTCGAGACATCACTGGTGATAAAATTTTCCAAGCAAATGTATTTCTTTCTTTGAAAAAAAAAAATAATAATTTACAAACACAGTTTAGCCAAGAAGGAAAGTGTCTCAGAAAACTATTCCATTTGAATAAAACTTGTTATGATGTTGTACGTTACACAATAAAGGACTAACCTTCCCTCGGTCATCTGGCTGAAAGACATCACATCAAAAATATATTAAGTATGAAATAAGAATTAATATTCACTTTAGAGGCACTGAAAATTGATGCTCATGACTCATAATTGCAAATTTAAAGCTTTTGGCCATAGATTGTACACTAGTTATGTCACAGAAGGCAATATCTCGGCCATTGTTTTGATCACTCTGACGTATGATTATACTAGGGCCATGTGCATCAAGAAGAGAGCAATTAACACTGTCGGTCTGTAGCACATACACAAATCTCAAATGTTTTATTTTTTGTAAAACAGATATATGGAAATATCAATCTTAATGACTGGCTGTAAAAGNGTTTGAGAATATGTGGACCTGTCATATATGAAAAGTTTTTAACTATCAAAAACTACGAGCCAATGATAAGAAACACTTTTCACATTTAGTCCACCAACAGATACCTTCCAAATCTTATCATTCCCACCTGGTTGCCCACCTGACTGTGATAAGAATGGTACCAAGTGTGAGCCAGTTCACCTGAAGATTTCTGCACATCTCTTACCTGCAAATGACTCAGGTTAGTTACATGTGTACCACAACTGTGTGTGTGTGTGTGTGTGTGTGTGTTTGGGAGGGGAGGTGTTTTCCTATATTCACACAAAGCACTCTTGAAGCCCCTTTCTTAATTGTAATTCTAACAATTATTCATGAAAATTTAAACACAAGTTTCAATACAGTTTGGCAGAATTTGCTAAATATGAAACTTCTTAAATTAATAGACTTAATGAAAGTTTATCTCAATTATTTCAACAAAGAAATGAATAAAGTAAATCAAGAAATTCATATAATAATTCTACAAATGTATCTAAATATGTCTGTGTGTGTGTGTTTCTTACCATGATGTTGTTTTGTATCCATATTTCTGCTCTGCTATAGCTGTCACCAAGTGCTGTGCTGAAGACAATCAAATGCTAGAGATGTTATCATCTTGCAGATGATTAATCACTCATCATGCCTCAGAATTCACCAAAAATTCAGAACAACAACAATTTTACTGAGCCACCAGACAGAATCATTACTTTTTTCAATATATCAACTGATTAATGGTACAAAACAAAATATTTTAATCCTATCATATTGCCATTTTTCTTTGCACCATGAACATTTGTTTTTCTTTTTTTTTCTTTAAACAAAATTTGGACATTTCATTTTGATTAATATCAATATTGAGCCACAGGTATTATTTATGACATTTCAATCAAATCTCACACCAATTATTACCAGAGTGTTGTTGCATGTGGTCAAACCTCCGTGTCCAGTCCACAGTCACCTTGACCTCAGAGTTGACCTCCAGGTCAGACTGAACAAAATGGACAGCTTCGGCCCCTCGCCTTGTTACACGATGGACATCCACACTATTTATCTAAAATAATAAAACTGTGAAGTTTGGATAAGTCAGGCATAGTCAAACTAAGAAAACTATAACTAACTAGGCAAGTTTTACAGTTTAAAATAGACATGGACATCAACACCATTCATCCAAAATTAGCAAGTTGTGTGTTTTAAGACATACAAGAATATTCACCTCATTCATTACCAATACTTAGAACAAAATGTCTGTTCAATTAAAATAAAAGCTTTTCTCGAGACATCACTGGTGATAAAATTTTCTAAGCAAATGTATTTCTTTCTTTGAAAAAAAAAAATAATAATAATTTACAAACACAGTTTAGCCAAGAAGGAAAGTGTCTCAGAAAACTGTTTCATTTGAATAAATTTTGTTATGATGTTGCACGTTACACAATAAAGGACTAACCTTCCCTCGGTCATCTGGCTGAAAAACATCACATCAAAAATATATTAAGTATGAAATAAGAATTAATATTCACTTTAGAGGCATTGAAAATTGATGCTCATGACTCATAATTGCAAATTTAAAGCTTTTGGCCATAGATTGTACACTAGTTATCTCACAGAAGGCAAAATCTCGGCCATTTTTTTGATCACTCTGACGTATGATTACACTTGGGCCATGTGCATCAAGAAGAGAGCGATTAACTCTGTCGGTCTGTAGCACATCCACAAATCTCAAATGTTTTATTTTTTTGTAAAACAGATATATGGAAATATCAATCTTAATGACTGGCTGTAAAAGGAGATAGAAAAGGGAAAAAATGTTTTTAGTCAGTTCACACACATACCTGACCTCCACCCTCTGGAAATAACACAGTATCTTCTAATACGACTTCAAATCCTTCCAACTTTTGTTTCTTTCCATTTACAACTGTTTGTAAGCGGGCTGGGACACATGACTTCACCCTAGTGCTCAGCTGAAACAAGATTATCCCAAAGATTGACATAAATTCAGTTGTTCAATATCCTTCTAGTGAAAACTTGTTTAGGCCTAACTCTTTAGGTGGGAGAGTAAATATAAATGCTGTCATTTATCAAATACTTTATCGTTATTATCTCATTGCTGAGTTTACAAGAGTAAGACACTGCGCAAGACGAATTTAATTTAACATTGTAAGGGTGAATGGACAGACTTCAAAACTGGCGGCAAAATTTCTGGACTTATGTGAAAAAATTCAGAAATGAGAGGAAAGGTGAAGTAGGAAATAAATACAATTTCACCTTTTTATTATTAAAACATTAAAACTTTCACAGAAGTGCCAGAGACTTGAATACGGCTAATCACACCAACTTCCTTTTGAAAGCAAATTTTATGTCCAGTGCATAAAACAACATAAAAGAAAACACAACTACATGTCAAAAGCTGTGAAGATACAGTAGTGAAGCATAAAACTCATTGATTAAATTTGAGCTTGTTTTTTACAGTTTGGACAAAGCATTTGTTGGAAAACACCTAATTCTCTACCTCTCTCAAATAACTATCCTGCTGACAGGACAGCGCCATGTCAAATCTCGTTCACTCTCGCATATCGAGACCACAACGTGGTGCATCTTGGGTAATTTCAGCCATTTTTCTGGGAAAGGTAGAAAATGTAAAACATCACTAAAACCAGGCTTATTTTTCCACATATCATAAACAAAGGGCCCGTATATTATTTCAGAGGTAAGTGACGCCCTTATCCTTTCAAATTTTTGCAACGTCATTAACCAAAAGTAGCTTTTTAAGAAGTTCAAGGAATGCAAACCAAGGCCGTCTGCCTTGAAGTTTCACTGTTGTGATATTGCGGTGACTCAGCTGACTACCTTAAACAGGGGTAGATCTGTCAACCCGAAAGATTCACATCACCTCGACATGGTGTACCCTAGAGTCTCATTTACCAAAACAAAAAGTATTGTTTGATCGTTTCACTTTCGTCTTTGGCGTTTTGTAAGTGGAAATCCTCGAAGAGTTACATTACTTGGGTTTATAACTCGATCCCAAGAACAATTTACCTGTTTGATACATCATGTTTGTTTTTAAAGCAGGGATGCGCAATCAAGCTCTTCTATTCAACCAAGGATTTTTATCTTCTTACATGTATGTATAGGTATAAATATAAATAAGACAGTTTTCACAAATCTGTTTGGGAAAATAGTGAAAGTTAATGTGGATGGTTAATCAGTATAGAAAAAAAAGATAGCATCTGCATAGTAAAAAAAGATAGCATCATTATCATGTTAGTGCTCATTTCAGTTGTTAACAATTAGACAGACAATGTGATCAGCTGTCATCTAAGTTTAGGATCTTACTAGTACTTTGCTACATGGTTCTGCTGCAAGTAAGACCTCAAAGACATGACTTAGGTGGAGTGCAAATTAGTACACAAGTTGATGAAGTGCTGAACAAACCAAGTACTGTCTCACTGCCTTTAACCAGTTTGTGCATGTGATGAATTAAAGGGAATCTTAAGATTTTCACTAAATGTGTCTTAACTTATCTATTGACATGCTGACATATCGCAACTGATACTCTCAAAGATGGACCAGGTAAACACCTTAAAATACTATTCTGATATGACCTACTTTTATATTACTGTAGTTTTAACTTTAGGTGATCATCACATTCTACTTATATATCAATATATGATTTCCAAATTTACAAATATTTTCATATAGGTGCTTTAAAGTTCAAACTGTGAAAGTAGGCCAAGTTTGTACTTTTATTTTCCACAGACTTCCTTGCTATATCACTGGCTTACAATATGAGTACCTAAGGTCTAAGTTATGGTTAGAGAAGAGCAGAGAAAGCCCTTAGACTGAGTTTAGATCAGCTGCAGACCTGTATACACATTAAATTTGCATAACAGTCAGTAATGAATTAAAAATACCCAGAAATCTTTAGTCCAGATATTTGTTTGCTTTATTGATGTAAAGTGTCACCTGTGTAAATAATGAGCAAGTGGTAAGGGACAATTTTACAGTGATTTGGTAAGGGACCATTTTATATACTTGATCAATATATAAAGCAATACAGCTCCTATGACAAATGGTTATAAAAAATATAACCACTATCTGTGCATGTTGAATCTCCAATCAACACACAGTGTAAGGACTTTGATTTTTATCAAACATTTTTAAGCTTACACCGAATTTGATCTAAGCTTTTAATCAGCACTAAGATTGCAATGAATATTTATGTTAGTACTAGTATCAGAAAATAACCATTGTGGCATTTAGTTTTAGTCTACTTTTCATCTTTTTAATCTTTGCAGGGTTTCCTCTGAAGATTGCAAAGGGGCAAGTGTTACAGAAATAAAAAACAATGTATGACAAGGTTACCTAAGGATTAAAATAATTTTTCCTGAACCTTCGAAGAACAGTTCACTATCAAAAAATGAATCAAATATGTGAAGTGGCCTGGACTGGGTAAAGTGATAAGAAACACGTTGCATTTGGAGCGACAGTGTGTTGGCTATGACAGCGTGTATGGTGTGACATAGTGACCCATGTAGCAGCATACATTGTCATAATGAGCCCTGTACACCATGGCATCACATCAGGAGAGAATTACACCATCAGATGCTGTGTTTTTTAGTAACAATGTGGATACCAGCAATTTATCAGAGAACACAACAAAGATTTTGTTTCACTCTTCTTCAAGTAGCACAACAACAACAACAACAACAACAACAACAGTCCCTGCTGGTGGAGTCTTTGAACTTAATACCACAGCGCCTCTGGATATTAACGCAGTAAAATCTGCTACGGTAGACACCAGTAGCGAATTACAAGCCCAGCGTCATGGAGCACTTTCAGCAGGCCTCAAAAGGCCAGGCATGTCTCAGAAGAGAGAGCTTATGGGCATGATCAGTGAGAAACATGCACGGGATGCTGTCATGGCTTTAGTTGGCAGCAAGGCTAATAATAACAAAAATGAGACACTTCTCAGTGCGTCAGTTTTAGAGGCTACCCAGAGTTTTGACGTCAGTGTGAATTCTTTGATGTCAGGTTCTTTACCCAGGGATCTGGAAACTACCACTAATTTGTCAGAAGGTTCCACCATGTTTAATAATCCAGGTGATCATTCGTGTGTTGGGTATTATGGTGCTGCATCAGTGCCAGATACCAATGACTCTCTTGCATCAGGAGATGGAAGTGTTAAGGTTGTGAATGAAAACAGTACTGGACTTAACACTGCTATGGGTGATATGTTGAATGACAGCAGAGGATTGGCTGAGATTAAAAATATACATAGCAACTTTTCAAATGCACACAATTGCTTGGATATGGAAACTATGTTGCCGCCTGGCTGTTTGGTTGAAAATAAAAGTGTTCAGGCCTTTGCTGGAAGAACCGCAGTTGGGGATGATAACAATATGATTCCAGAGTGTCCTTGTCCGACAGATATAGATGTCTCAACCAACAGCAACCATATAAGAGGTACATTATATACACCACACACAGCTGTGGGGTCTACTCACTGTGTTGGCACTTTACACCTCTCAGTTAAGGCAACTGATGTGACCATTTTTACCAACTGTGATGATGGTTCTTTGGCAGAGTCAACCGCAGTGACTTCATGTATAGAAAAAAAGGGCAAGGAAGGTATAGCTGTGCAAGGCAGTGATGCTATCGTAGATAACACCCCTTCATCTGTGGATAACACTCCTCAAAAAGGCATAAAAGTAGACACAGAGAATGTCCCTGTTCAAGGTGGACTGGTCAGTACACGGCCATACAGTTATGGTGATCCTAAGCAACTCCCTCTTGTCAGTGCACACTGGGCAGCAGAGCAGTCCCAGCAGCAGAATATTGGTGCGCTATCGCCTAACAGTGCTGCAGCTGCTGCTAGTGCATGTGGAAATGGACAAGGAGGCAGTGAAATAACCCGAGTGACTAATTCTTGCCAGTTGAAAATGTCTGTGACATTTCCAGAGGCAGCAGGACTGGGGCAGCCGCAGCAGCAGAATTGGAGCTTGGAGTCTGATAGCGCTTTGTTGGATGCTGAGTCACATGAGTTACCACAGGGTGATGACACAGAGAGTGATACTCGAGACAGTGAAATGGAAACTATAAACTTGAATATTGCAACAGGTGCTAGTACGCCAAATGAACTGATAGATGGTTGCGAAGTGGAAGAGAGTGACACCCAATCATCACTTTTGGAACATGGGACTGAAAACCTGCCAATTGCCACAGGAGGGTCAGGCAGCTGTTTACTCCCTGGAAGTGACAATCCATTCCTCACCTCGGTCATTTCTACTAGTCCGCCCACCCTGACCGGGGTCTCTCATAGCGTGTCAAGGAGTACCACAAGTCTGGTGACCACCCAGGCAGCTGGTTCTGCAGCCCTAGCTAGTGTGTTAAGTTCAGTCTCGGCAAGTCCCCCTTATACCTTGCCAACCAATATCATATGTACATCTACTGTGACAGATCTGATGGCGGCTGCAGCAGTGGCCAACTCTCCCTACCCTCTGACGGGAAATCTTCCTGCTGTAATTCCTATGTCAAACTCAATGTTGGGATTAGGACCTCTGACTGCTAATGTTGCTGGTCTCCTCCCCACTGGGACTAATAATGCATTGACTTCAATACCTTTCTTAATTGGTTGTGTTCCACCTAACATGCCCACAGTTTTACCAACAAATTTGATTCCATTATTGGCAGGAGGAGGTGGGCAAGCATTAGTGGGCGTTCCTGTGAGTCAAATGACTGCTGCCATGGCAACATCAATTCAACCAACAACACAGGACCCCATGAATAAACAACTTTTAGAATCTCCACCACAACAGCATCACCAGCAACTTGCATCCCAGATGATGCCACAAGATCAAAATAAACATATTCCTTCATTATCCACAGTCACAAATATGATAACGCTCACAAACTCTTCTTCCAACCATGGGAGCAGTAATTTTACTGCTTCAGCCCACCTGGCTGCCATGGCTACCGGCTCTGGACCCCAGTCAGATGTAACCATGGCAACTAATACTGCTGCAGTGACTTTCACCACATCCACCCCAGTCATGCAGGCCCTATTGAATGCCCCTCCCGTCATTGCTAGAGTTTTACCCAATGATAATGCATTATTTCACCCTGGCAGTAGTGTTCCCATGGCAACAAATGACATGTCTACTCCACCACCCCCTAGAATCACAGCATCAGCCGTAACACCATTGCCAATGACAGTGAACACTGTCAGCAAGGAGTTGAATGCTGAAAATGTGCCACCAACACCATCAACACCATTATCATCATCATTGTCTGTGATAGGCTCTAGTAGCAATGTTATTTCCATGGAGGATGTGAGCACTGGTGCTGTAACCATGACAATGGGAGAGGAGGGTTGTTCCACTGGAGAGAAGAACACACAAGAGACAGTTCCAGTGCCATTTGGCTGGTCAAGACATCTAGAAAATGGGGCTGTGACATATTACAGGTAAATGTTCAATGAGGATTCTTTTAAATCATATGAGAATGGTTATCACAGTGATTTTCAGTTAGAAGTAATGGTCTAACAAATTGCACATAATAAATTCTGTCACTATTACAACATATAGCAATGATAAAATCTGTTTAAGAAAATTGACTTTGATTGCATGTTTTTTGCTCAAAGTTTGATGACTACAAAAGAGGATTAATTAAATTTAGTTATTCATACAAAGTGCAACATTTCTACTTTTCCTTAAGAAAGCAAACTGAAGAAAATGCAACATTTTCTTTATTATTATTATTATTATTATTATTATTATATTTTTTTTTGTAAGGCCTTTTATGTTTGTTTATATTGTTTGTTCATAAATCCCATAATTCATATTTTACATCATGAATCCCATGATCTGCCTGTTTAGAATGATGATTGATTGAGGATGAGCACTTTGAAAAACTGCAAAGATATAACAGAATACATAGCAAAATGGGTATAGGGCTTCATTTACTTGGATACAGAATTAATGAAAAATGTTTGTTATTGTGAGCACAAAATATGCAGAGAAGGAAAAGAATGCCTTAGTCATTTCTTTACAGTATTAACCCATTCCTTGGATATATACCTTTCAATTGTTTATGTAATGCATGAACATATCTCATTTCACTAGTTGTGATAATTAATACACAGTACAGAAGTCACTCTTTCAATGTTCCTTTCATCTTTTTGTTGTTTGTGTGTGTGTCTGTGTTATAAAAACCCATGTCTTATCTTTTTTCAATATTTCTATAGAATCCCTAAGGATTATTGTCAAAATCAGGGCTTGGTTTTCTGTAATTATGAAACATTGTTAACAAGAATAGAATTGATTTTGTATATTGGACACCATGTCTTTTGTTTTATGTTTTTATGGATTTCTCATGTAGCAGGATATTATAAGATGTTTCTTTATTATATTTTATGTCAGTGGATAGGAAATTTGAAGCATTACAGTCAGATGATTGTTTGCTCATAATGTAAATTATCTAACTTCAAAAACAGGAAATCTGTCTAAGGTTAAAAAGATTGTATTTTATTCCTCTGTTGGTTTTCAATTGTTGCAAGAACTCTCATGTTAAATGAATAGCCAAAGAATTGCTAGGAGAAACTGAGCTTGCATTCTCTCCTCAGAATGCAAGTACTTCATTATAACCAACAAAACACATGGTGAATGTGCATTTAGAAATATGATTTCTATTCATTTTATTGAAACTAAAAGTCATAAGCTTTCACAATAACATCAGAAATTCAATTGACACTTTCACTGTGGCCATCAAATTCTACTTTCATTGTCAATGGCTTGAATAGTGCTCCAAAATAAAATCTCTAATTTTTATGTACAGACACAGATGTGTCTGTACATATAGCCATCATCTGCGTCTGTCGTCGCCGTCGGCGCCGTCGTCGCCCTCGTGCACTTTTTCTGATAACACGACAAGCGGCACACCGTTTTTGCTNTGGAAGAACAGTTCACTATCAAAAAATGAATCAAATATGTGAAGTGGCCTGGACTGGGTAAAGTGATAAGAAACACGTTGCGTTTGGAGCGACAGTGTGTTGGCTATGACAGGGTGTATGGTGTGACATAGTGACCCATGTAGCAGCATACATTGTCATAATGAGCCCTGTACACCATGGCATCACATCAGGAGAGAATTACACCATCAGATGCTGAGTTTTTTAGTAACAATGTGGATACCAGCAATTTATCAGAGAACACAACAAAGATTTTGTTTCACTCTTCTTCGAGTAGCACAACAACAACAACAACAGTCCCTGCTGGTGGAGTCTTTGAACTTAATACCACAGCGCCTCTGGATATTAACGCAGTAAAATCTGCTACGGTAGACACCAGTAGCGAATTACCAGCCCAGCGTCATGGAGCACTTTCAGCAGGCCTCAAAAGGCCAGGCATGTCTCAGAAGAGAGAACTTATGGGCATGATCAGTGAGAAACATGCACGGGATGCTGTCATGGCTTTAGTTGGCAGCAAGGCTAATAATAACAAAAATGAGACACTTCTCAGTGCGTCAGTTTTAGAGGCTACCCAGAGTTTTGACGTCAGTGTGAATTCTTTGATGTCAGGTTCTTTACCCAGGGATCTGGAAACTACCACTAATTTGTCAGAAGGTTCCACCATGTTTAATAATCCAGGTGATCATTCGTGTGTTGGCTATTATGGTGCTGCATCAGTGCCAGACACCAATGACTCTCTCGCTTCGGGAGATGGAAGTGTTAAGGTTGTGAATAAAAACAGTACTGGACTTAACACTGCTATGGGTGATATGTTGAATGACAGCAGAGGATTGGCTGAGATTAAAAATATACATAGCAACTTTTCAAATGCACACAATTGCTTGGATATGGAAACTATGTTGCCTCCTGGCTGTTTGGTTGAAAATAAAAGTGTTCAGGCCTTTGCTGGAAGAACAACAGTTGGGGATGATAACAATATGATTCCAGAGTGTCCTTGTCCGACAGATATAGACGTCTCAACCAACAGCAACCATATAAGAGGTACATTATATACACCACACACAGCTGTGGGGTCTACTCACTGTGTTGGCACTTTACACCTATCAGTTAAGGCAACTGATGTGACCATTTTTACCAACTGTGATGATGGTTCTTTGGCAGAGTCAACCGCAGTGACTTCATGTATAGAAAACAATGGCAAGGAAGGTATAGCTGTGCAAGGCAGTGATGCTATCGTAGATAACACCCCTTCATCTGTGGATAACACGCCTCTAAAAGGCATAAAAGTAGACACAGAGAATGTCCCTGTTCAAGGTGGACTGGTCAGTACACGGCCATACAGTTATGGTGATCCTAAGCAACTCCCTCTTGTCAGTGCACACTGGGCAGCAGAGCAGTCCCAGCAGCAGAATATTGGTGCGCTATCACCTAACAGTGCTGCAGCTGCTGCTAGTGCATGTGGAAATGGACAAGGAGGCAGTGAAATAACCCGAGTGACTAATTCTTGCCAGTTGAAAATGTCTGTGACATTTCCAGAGGCAGCAGGACTGGGGCAGCCGCAGCAGCAGAATTGGAGCTTGGAGTCTGATAGCACTTTGTTGGATGCTGAGTCACATGAGTTACCACAGGGTGATGACACAGAGAGTGATACTCGAGACAGTGAAATGGAAACTATAAACTTGAATATTGCAACAGGTGCTAGTACGCCAAATGAACTGATAGATGGTTGCGAAGTGGAAGAGAGTGACACCCAATCATCACTTTTGGAACATGGGACTGAAAACCTGCCAATTGCCACAGGAGGGTCAGGCAGCTGTTTACTCCCTGGAAGTGACAATCCATTCCTCACCTCGGTCATTTCTACTAGTCCGCCCACCCTGACCGGGGTCTCTCATAGCGTTTCAAGGAGTACCACAAGTCTGGTGACCACCCAGGCAGCTGGTTCTGCAGCCCTAGCTAGTGTGTTAAGTTCAGTCTCGGCGAGTCCCCCTTATACCTTGCCAACCAATATCATATGTACATCTACTGTGACAGATCTGATGGCGGCTGCAGCAGTGGCCAACTCTCCCTACCCTCTGACGGGAAATCTTCCTGCTGTAATTCCTATGTCAAACTCAATGTTGGGATTAGGACCTCTGACTGCTAATGTTGCTGGTCTCCTCCCCACTGGGACTAATAATGCATTGACTTCAATACCTTTCTTAATTGGTTGTGTTCCACCTAACATGCCCACAGTTTTACCAACAAATTTGATTCCATTATTGGCAGGAGGAGGTGGGCAAGCATTAGTGGGCGTTCCTGTGAGTCAAATGACTGCTGCCATGGCAACATCAATTCAACCAACAACACAGGACCCCATGAATAAACAACTTTTAGAATCTCCACCACAACAGCATCCCCAGCAACTTGCATCCCAGATGATGCCACAAGATCAAAATAAACATATTCCTTCATTATCCACAGTCACAAATATGATAACGCTCACAAACTCTTCTTCCAACAATGGGAGCAGTAATTTTACTGCCTCAGCCCACCTGGCTGCCATGGCTACTGGCTCTGGACCCCAGTCAGATGTAACCATGGCAACTAATACTGCTGCAGTGACTTTCACCACATCCACCCCAGTCATGCAGGCCCTGTTGAATGCCCCTCCCGTCATTGCTAGAGTTTTGCCCAATGATAATGCATTATTTCACCCTGGCAGTAGTGTTCCCATGGCAACAAATGACATGTCTACTCCACCACCCCCTAGAATCACAGCGTCAGCCGTAACACCATTGCCAATGACAATGAACACTGTCAGCAAGGAGTTGAATGCTGAAAATGTGCCACCAACACCATCAACACCATTATTATCATCATCGTCTGTGATAGGCTCTAGTAGCAATGTTATTTCCATGGAGGATGTGAGCACTGGTGCTGTAACCATGACAATGGGAGAGGAGGGTTGTTCCACTGGAGAGAAGATCACACAAGAGACAGTTCCAGTGCCATTTGGCTGGTCAAGACATCTAGAAAATGGGGCTGTGACATATTACAGGTAAATGTTCAATGAGGCTTCTTTTAAACCATATGATAATGGTTATCACAGTGATTTTCAGTTAGAAGTAATGGTCTAACAAATTGCACATACTAAATTCTGTCACTATTACAACATATAGCAATGATAAAATCTGTTTAAGAAAATTGAGGCATGGATAAAAACAGCATAGATCCTTGCTACCCAGTAAAAATTGACATTTGTGCAAACTGAAGGTTAGCTTCATATCATTTTACCTCCAAATAACATGATTGTATGTTTATAAACGCCAAATAGAGGGTTTATCTTGTGCATTAGTGAGTGAGGGAGGGAAAAAAACAAAAAAGGAGAGAGGAGTAAATTATTTGGATTGATGATGAGGGCTCATATTTTCTGTACTTGTATTTATCTGATAAAAAATCTGTCTCTAAAGAGACTTCAGATATGTTTCTTTACCTGTTTGGCATGATGTTTTGACCCAT